TGTGTGTGTGTGTGTGTGTGTGTGTGTGTGTGTGTGTGTGTGTGTGTATTAGGAACTGAACTCAGGATCCTTGTACATGTTTGGTAACTCATTGTAAAAATATACATACGTACACACACACACACTATTATGTGCATGTATGGGGCACCTTTTGTTTTATTTTGTTTTTTTAGACAGGGTTTCTCTGTGTAGCCAACTTGGAGCTTCGTCTGCCTCTGCCTTCCAAGTGCTTAAAGTTGTGGGATACCACTGCCCGGCAGGAGCACTTTTTTAAAAAAATAGTATCAGCTTTATTTTATTATCTGTTATTAAAATAACAGATATATTTCACATAAAATCCAGTTGTTTAATGTGTACAGTTCATTGCACAGTATATGCAGAACTGTGCATCTATCGCCACAGTCAAGATTAGCCCGTTTTCATAAGCACAAAGAAACCCTAGGCCCTTTGCCATTACACCTTAAGTCCTATCATCCTCTCAAATCCTAGACTGTCTGACTTTGGGGTTTTGGGTCACAGATTTGCTATATAGCTCTAGGTGTGCTTGTGCTTGCTCTGTAACTGGGGTAGCCTTGAATTTGCAGTGAACTTGAGGTGCTAGAATTATAGACATGTACCACAATACCTGGTTAGTATCCTTGATTTTTAATTATTTTTGTTGTCAAAGCAAGTACAAGTTCTTCATATTGATGACACCAAGTTATTTTTTTATTTGTTGAGACAAGATTTTGTTATAACCCAGGCTGGACTTGAACTCTCAACCTTCCAATTTAGGCTCCTCCTGAATTATAGATATGCATCATGCTGTTTACTCTTTTAGCTTATTGTCCAGTTTACATTTTTTATGTCTTGCAGATACTGCCAAACACACCTTTTCTTTTTTGTTTTTTTTTTTTTCGAGACAGGGTTTCTCTGTATAGCCTTGGCTGTCCTGGAACTCACTCTGTAGACCAGGCTGGCTTTGAACTCAAAAATCCGCCTGCCTCTGCCTCCCAAGTGCTGCTATCAAAGGCGTGCGCCACCACCGCCCAGCCAAACAGACCTTTTATTTCTGTCGGAATAGTACGTCTGGTCGTCTTATTCTCAGATCTGAAAATGTTGACTCTTGAGCTCTGTTTACTAGTTCTTATTTCCCATGCATGTGTGTGGCTATTGCTATGCCTGTTCTTTTAAGTTGTTCTTGGTCTAGAATAACGTCGCATTCTTCCATACAGGATTTTGTGCTTGCCAAGTGCCTTGGTGTTAGGCTTTTGAAGTCACACCTTAGAGTTTTAATTACAATTAACGTAGGTAGTGAGAGTTGCTTGGGTTTGTGTTTCAGTGTTGCCTTTACTTATCTTTCAAAAACTGGTAACTTTACTTTTCCTGTAGATTCTTGGGAAATAGGACTTAGGTTTTTTGGTTTCTTTTTCCCCAATGAAGATAATTCTTGGGAATGCTGGTTTATAGAAGACTTCACCACCTTCCTGGGCCTTAGCCTTGACTTCTAAGCTTCTCCTCAAACACATAAACTGGGTATTCTAGTT